ATTATTTTATTAGAATCAATAAAACCCAAGAGCCCAAGGCCCCAAGGCCCAATCAAAGACTTTTTAATATAGTGCGTGAGGCGTGGCTCGAACACCTGACCTCCCACACAAATTCCACACTTTTCATCAGTTGGGCACTTCATCTTAATCAATTATTTCTTTCACATATTATATTTATTGTATAAATATATAACATGAGTATGTTGAATAAGAAAATTTTGATTACAATTTTATTGAACTAGAAAAGAAAAATTAGGTTATGTTCATCATCTCAAGTGATAAGTAGAAATACATTTAAATATGTCAATTTATTGTGGTAGGTCCAGTATTGTATTGTTGCTACAGATGAATCGTTCCTAACAAATGAAATGTCAAGTGTCAAGATTAAAAGGAATTAAATATCGAGAATTACATTTCAAATGTCAAGGACTGTATAAAATGTAGAGAACATTGTTGTTTGGAACAAAATTTCATTCAAGACAAATGATGTATTAAGTGTCACGATAACAGGGTTCATTTATCGAAAAGTACTTTTCAAATGTTGAGAATGGTTTAAGAATCTTTTGATATTCTCGAATGATGAATTCCATGTTAAATATATTTGACAAAAGGAGATCATAGTAGCATAAAAATTTGACAAAAAATAAAATAAAACTTTTTTTATAATGTCCGTTGTCGCTTGAATATCTGCTGGGATGGTAGTATTTTCAACGTGTTTTCATTATTTTAATGTGTATACCATTCCGTTTCAAACACTATATGCAGCAAACTTAATCCAGCAAGCAAGCTTTTAATATCTCCAATTGCATCCTTTATCTAGAAATTTTTTTAATGTCCACTTATCCCTTGTTTAGTTAATTCTGAAAAAAAAAATTGATATCAATTAAATCGAAAAAAGTTATTTGAAGTGAAATTGCAAAACTTAAAGGCATAAAATAACATCTCCATACATGCATGCCATAAATGCAAATAAGATTAGAAAACACACAACAAACATATCATTGTTAAACGCATCACACAAAATGTTCCCCAACTTTGCTAAGTTTTTAACATTTATTCTTGACATTTGAAATAATGTCAAGAATTACATTTAAATATCATTCTCGACATTTTACAAATGTGGAGAACGATTGTCGGGTTTACACTTCACCATATGCATTTATCTTATTCAACTTCAACCACCATTTTTGCAAATAATTATTCCACTATTAATGGATTTTCTACTTCATCTTCATTTTCTCCAAAATAATTGGTCAATACCTAATCTATAATAGCTAGCAAATGAAACCCATTAGGATCGGTCGTATTTAATGGGTTTAGTTACCAATTATAGGGAGAAGTGGATATGTGAAACTTTATTTAGGATTCGAAATTGAAGATACTTGGTTGATTTAACTATTTTGTTATTGAAATAGTTTTAACACTTGGGGGACTGAAATAGAATTATTGCTAACAATGCTAACTATTTTCTTATTGAAATAGTTTTAACACTTGGAACTATTGAGGAACTCCTCTGTTTATATACTTTTATAAGAGAAATCATTCCTTGAAATAGAATGACTGCTAACAATTCTAGTAATATTTTTTGTACAAATTCTCCACTTGTTTCTGTACTTTTTTTTTCTGATGAACCGAATTGTTTCCATTGTTCTTCTTCTTCTTCTTCTCTTTTTTTTTTT